TCTCTTACTCTTACTAGTCTGCAAGGCGCGTGACAAGAATAATTTTAAGTAATTTTAAATTCTGAAATGAAATAAAATATATTTTACTTATTCAGATTGTTTAATCAGAATAATTGTTAAAAAAATCCCATCTTCACAATAATATTTTTTGGTAGGAGGCACCTAAAGAAAAGTCAATAATTGTTTTTTTTTTTTAATTTTATTTCAAGAAGTATCACTGAGTCTTAAGCCTTCATTGGACGATTTGTTTTAAGCTTAGGTTTTATATATTAAGTTACAATGAAAAGAGTTTTCATAAAATGTTGTACTAATAACGATGTTTACTTCAGTGTTTGGAACCCACTGCATCGAACCGCGGTCGCGCTTGGCCAATTATTAAGTTTTTTCATGCTTGTGGTTAGGGAACGGTTTTTTCTCGGCTCAGGTGCATCGATTGAATTCGACTTTTATTCTTGTAAATGACTTTTATTTGTTGTAAATATTGGGGATTTTGTTACTGTTTAATGGAGTATTATTGTGCGGGTAAGTTTTTTTCGATTAACGTTATGGCTTCGTAATGGCCGTGATCCTAATTATGTGATAGATTTGTTGTTACTTTCTAGTTTGGACGCTGGCTTTTTATACTTTTTTTGAGTTGGTATTTTTTTGACCAAAACTTGGCCAATTGTCAACAGTCCTACAGTGGCTCGAAGCTGGGTTTTTTTCATTGGTCACAATTAGGTAATTTAATATGAACAATTCTTCTATTTTTGATATTAAAATAAAAATAATTCAAAACGTTTCATTACAATATTATGAATACAATATGAAAGTTCAGATGCCTGATCCTGTATTTTTACATATGACTAAAACATTTTTTTTAGCTCAGATAAAGGGTTGAATACACATGTTATGCTATTTAGTAACGCTCTTTATTTTCCAATCAAAATATTTCAAACCAAGGATGTGTTTTTTGTTTTTAAATTCATCCGTTTTTTGGCCGCTTAGAATTTTGATAGAGTGTGAAAGGGTTCTGTCTTGTGATTGAGTCAAAAAGTTTTTGTTTTCTTCAAAAAATTCGAGAAAAAATGCTTATGGAAATGCCTTTTGTGTTCTTAAGAGGTGTTGAAATCTAAGAGGCTCTTTAACACTATGGAGTTTGAAGTAGAAAATTAAAAGGTGGTTAAGTATAGCGTGATCATTATTTGTGTGTAGTAAAGTTGGACATACAGGATCAGCTTAACGTGACATTTCTTCACTTAAAAATACATTCGCGTGTGTGAATTTTTTCTTATTGAATTTACTGAATACGGATTATTTTATTTGGGTGTTAGTAACGTCAGTTCACCTGATCAGTTTGAAAATAAAAAACAAATAATACAAAAATAATGTAGGAATCTATTCGGCAGTCACTGTGCGACAATTTAAACGGTTTAAAAAAAATAATATCATTTACTAAGACAGTGTGAATATAGATCCCACCTTATTTTTTACCTTTTTTATTTGTTTCTTTGGGTATCCTTCCGTTTGGCCAAATTACTTTTCGCCAAATTTCACTTCGCAAACAACTTATCGCCAAAGTTTCATTTCCCAAATGAACTTTTAGCAACTGTACTTTTCGCAACTAATTCATTTGGTCAAATTATCATTTGGCCAAATTTTACTTGGCAAATGTTTATTTAGCAAATGTTTTATGTTGCCAAATATTATATCCCAAATAATTTGTTTGGTCAAATTGACACTTCACATACTTTCCACCGNATGATCATGGTTTTCACAAGAATTTTATGTAAAACATTGCAGGAAATAGTATGGTTGCAAAAAGTAGGTATTACAGAAAAAAGTAGGTTAGGTTAGGTTAGAACAGTGACCCTTAATGCGCGAAGGCGAGCGAAGCGTGCCGCGGCAGCGGCCGCCGAGCGCTAGAATCACCTCTATTGTTAATTAATCGTTTGGAAATTTCGATAAAAAGAATGAAATAAGGAAATTAATGTAGAACAAATTTTATATTAACTACCCACTAAACAAAATAATAACCACAAGCTAATTTGTATCCATTCTATGCACCAATCAAATTATTTTGTAAATAGTTTATCGTGAAATATTTTTGCCTAATGAAACATTTGGCAAACCATACTTTGCCAAACAATAATTTGCTAAACAATAATATGCCAAAAACAACATTTGCGAATTAAAAGTTTGCAATAAGTTGCTTTGCCAAATGAGAATTTGCCAAATGAAAATTTGCGAAACGTTGTTTGCGATGTGATAATTTGGGAAACGTTTTTTGGCCAAACATTAGTAATCCGTTTCTTTGTCTTAAGACCCAAAAACAATAAGATCTGATGGTCCAGATCCAGATCTTTATATTCTAGCACTCCTTGTTCCCAAACGCTAAGTGCCTTGCTGTTATTGAATCTCAAAGTCCATTCAAGGCAGCAGACATTCATGTTTATTGCACTATAACGTAACATAGTGTCGAAATACTGGTCAATGAAACCGGACTTGGGTCTAATGGTCTTGGACGTTATCTTTAAGAATAGTTATCAAAAATGTGCAGAGTCCACGTGTTTTTGAAGAAATACGCCTTAAAGAAAGAAAGAAAGATACATTTATTGTTACAATAGATATCACACAAATACAGGCAATTACATACATTATAGACATATTAGACCATAATACAATTTTTTCCTCAAATTTTATGAAATAGTATTTTTAAAAGCGTATTAGGGAAATACGTCTACAAGGAGGTAGGTAGATACTTCAACGTTGTGTTAAATGTTTATTTCCCATAGAGGTAATATTTAAAGTTTAGATACTTATTTGTAAGTAGGCGCTTTTAGGAAAAACGTTTCAGTGGTTAAAAATATTACATCAACCTAAATGCTATGGCAAATTGCAACAAAAAGTATAGTTTGATGTGCAGGCAGGGCACTGGTACCTTGTCATAATATGAAAAGTTTTATGGCATCTTCTTTCCATGTAGAATATATCACGTGACCTAACTGAAAAATAACTTCTCTGAGTCCCCGCACTATGAAAGTAGGTACACACATTAATTTGGTATCAGAGGGCTGAGTGTGAGTTTTTTTCATACGCGCTCACTAGTGACATTAAATGTATGACGGATTGTAAAGCGCCTCTAGCGGGAAACTTTCAAAAATTAAAATTTTCATACATTCTTTTTCGTTTGATGTAAACACACACTCAGCCCACTGAAGAATGAAGAAAAATTCTTCATTACCAAACTATCGACCCAGGAAAAGCCTGTACTCGGCGGGGACTAAATTAAACTTTAACCTGACTCAAGGTATGTCTCAATTATTTAAAAAATATCAACGTCATTGTTTAAATTTCATTAAAGCAATCTTGTTTCTGGGAAAATGTCAAATTACGAAGGCGAACCTGATGTAGATATACACGGCAATACCGACTCATTTAAATGTGAAGTGAACCGAGATTTGATCTCGGCCTTTTTTAACGTTTTGTCTCATAATATGGCGATATTTAATGTACCTAAAAATATATTACATTGTATTGTTGGTTAAGAATTTTGAGGAAAATTTAAAAGACGTTGCGGCCACTTTTGATCGTTAACAGTTATGGTCATGCAGTTATTTATATAGACACCTAAATCAAAGTCATTTGCAGTGGTTTTACCAATAATAGTTGTTATAGGTATATAAGGTAATATTTTGATATTTTCTTAGTAATTAGGTACTTAGGTAAAAAAATATCCATCCATGATATTCAGTACCTACTAAGAAATAAGCAGTGCGAGTAACGTGGTCCTGACTATCTATTTCATACTAAGTAGGTTATTTCTATATCATACTAGGTTATTAATAAGATAGTTGGTGGTTCAATTGACCTATGCATGAAGTCATGCTCTTCAGCAGTAGTGATTAGGTAAATCAAATCAAACTCATTTAGTTGTTACTGATAGAACAAGAACAGAAGAAGGTTTTTTACCTTAATAATTTATTTTAAGTCTTTCAAAACTTAAAGTTTAAGTGTACACAATTTTTCATTTTCGTAACACAAAACCGTACGCCGAGGCTAGTTCGCCGCCATGACCCGATAAAATCTTTATTTCTGTTCATAACTTGTTCTCCATGCTTGTTTGAGATAATAGCGTTTTAACATTACAAAAAATCGTACATGTTTTGTTAAACAATATTAAAATAGGTGTTTAACAAAAATATTTTGAGCCAAAACATCGCCATAACAGCATTTTTGTGTTCCGGCAGTTAGAGGTAAGATAGCCAGTTCCTCTGTGGGTGAGGATTTCAGGTGAAGCTTGCTTCCACCTTCGGCCTGATCATCACTTACCATCAGGTGAGATACAGCCCAAGAGCTTCCTCGTTGTGGATAAAAGAGAAAAATAACTTGCTTTTGGAGATTCCGTTGGAAAATACCTTGATATTATGGAAAGACGTTGTTACTTGAGGAAACAACAATGATAATGGTTTCGTTGACAATCAAGATCATCAAAATAATGCTCGTACTTGGGTCGTTAAATGTTATTACTTCCTGAACAAAACTTTTTATGGGGCTCGGAGTCGGCATTGTATCTTAGACACGAGTAAATTCATATATCCACACTTTTCATTGAACTGAAGATAGTTTTTGTTTGTTTAGTTTCCTTTTGGCGCATATTACGTCACATAATTTTCTTATTTCTGTTTTTACATAGTAAAAAGTAGATACCTAAATACAACATTGACACAACAATACTATTAAAGTAGGTACTCAAGTACCTAAACAATTCAAAATTGGTTAACTAGAAGCAATTTCATAAAAAGCACACAAATAAAACAAATGCAAAATAATTTAACGCAATAAAGATTTTAAGATTGTTCAACAACGTGACAACTTATTTTTTTTAATATCTTTTATTTTTATCAAAAAATGTATTGGAAGTAGAGTCAAAGTGCTAAGTAACGGTTAGTGGTGACGTTGTCAAACAATCGAAAAACTAAGAACTTAAATAAAAAATATAAAGAAAAAATGAAACGTGCCCAGGTTCGAGATGCGATTGGTTGGATGCTTGTTGCTGCCGACAGATATCCGGGCTTGTCTGTACGAACCAGGAATGGGTGAAGGCCGGGTTCAGGCCCGGACTCAGGCCCGCGCCCGGGCCCGGCAGGCCCATCACGCCGGGCAGCCCGCCCGGCCTCTGGTGGTGGTGGAAACCAGCCGAGGCCACTGCGTAGTCCATAGCTACCGCCTGATACGGCAACATTCTCACAACACTCAACTACTAGTCCAAAACCACCAGGCCGCACGTCATTTTCGGAAAATTCTTAACCTTTTGCCCGCTCTCATCAGTTCGCAGTCACTGTCACAGTCAATGCCTCCACACTGGCGATATACAGTCACAAAGTCCACAGTAACAACAGTTCGGGGCGGCACTGATAACTCCCAAGTTCCGCGAAGCCGCTTAACGTTTCAGCCGAAGACGTTTTCAGTTATCAAACAAACGCCCGTTCTATTTTCGTGGGCGATCATTTACGGGCTAGCTATTCACAGGGGAAAAGTCACGCACAGCCACCCACTTAATAAATATTCTGGGCATATATCCGTTTTTACGCGGACGTGACTCTCGGGATACTGTCCGCTTTTCACGTACGGAACGCGCGGACGATTATCGAAAACAGTTGCACGCGTCCCCCTCCTTCGACCTCGGACGTGCAACTGAAATAAGGCACGCGCGCCAAACGCGACTCTATCACACTCGAGCCTAGGCACCCCGCATACGCGCCGCTCGGGAAATTAGACGAGGACGCCGCTCTACGCCCGAGCGAGAGGCGACACGCTCGGACGTCATCGCGAAGTTAAAAGCCTGCGTCGTTACACGGCCCGTAATAGGCGGTTACGTGATTGGGCGTGGCCTGGCCTATTAAGTTGAATTGTCGCTCTCTGATTGGTTGAAATTGGTAGTAGTCGTCTACGTGATATGTTCAGGAATACGTTTATAGCTGGCGCTCATAGAATATAATAAGTGAGTTGTAGGTTGGATGCGCGCCAGTTGCGAAGATGCGGCGTGTTGCGGTTTCGTTCCCGATTCGCGTAATGGTTTTTAATTATTACTTCAGGGACCGTTAATGGGTTAACATTGCGTGTTTAGCCCGGCGTGGAATATTAAAGCGGATGCGCCGGTGAATGAACGTACGTCAGGGGCGGGGCCAGTCTATTGATTGACAAGCTGTCTGCCGTTTTCGCTACAAATTACAGCAAAACAGCTGCAAAGTTGCAACGAGCAATATAAATTTGTTTAATAGTAAGCCTATAAATGTGGCATTTAGAAGGCTAGCTATTAAACAAAGTAAGCACAAAGAAAACTGTAATCATTTCAAAATAATATCTTAATTTACAATAAAAAAACATGATCTACCAAAAGATATAAAAACGTTGAAAGTATAGGAAATTAAAAAGCCACAGCAGATCGTAATTTTTTATCGATTAAAATTCTTATAAGAATCTGCTTTGAAAGCAAAAGTGTTGATATAATTTGTTTCAATGCTGCCCTCATTCAAGCATGAAATTCAAATGGAGGAAAAAGTGGATTATCTCAGACATTTACATTTATTACTTAGACAAGAAAAAACATAAGATTCACAAGAAGAACACTATTAACGTCCTGTTAATATAAGTATAAATTGAATTATCATCATTCATCTCGAGCGACTTCATTCTTAAAGTTAGTTAAAGCTCGTAAAGACTATCAGCCAGCATCCATTTTACAAGATTATAAAAAGATAAGCTTGTGTACAAGTCCTGAAAAAAATAATAAAACTGCTTTCTCCCTGAAATTAGCAAGAAAGAAAAATGCATCCAAAGTGTTTTTACACTCTCTTTTCGATTCACGTCCGAGAGAGTGTAAAAACACTAAAAAGTTATTGAAAAAAGCTTCCTTATCCCTAAAATTTAAGAAACCTCTATTCCTGAAATTAGTAAGAAACATGCGTCCAAGGCATTCCTGTTCAAATCCACGTCCGTAGTATCGAGCTGCGATCGATGGGGTTCAAGTTCGCGCGTTAGTATGCGGCCCTGCGTGCGGGCCTGGTAATGGCGGACCGACCAGCTGACTTTTGTTTTGGAACTGTAGACTCTAATATACGAATAGGAGTACCCATCTTCAAAGCTTCATCTAAATTATAATGCAAACAAACTCTGCATTTTAACCCTGTAATACTAAATCCTACTAATATTATATGTAAATGCAAAAGTTTGGATGTCTGGATGTTTGTTACTCTTTCACGCAAAAACTACTGAACGAATTTTGATGAAACTTTGCAGTATTATTGTTTATAACCCAGAATAACACATAGGCTATCTATAATTTATGACGATATGTGACAAACTGAATTTCACGCGGGTGAAGCCGCGGGCAAAAGCTAGATTTTAATAAACTGTAATGTAAAATCTCGTCCTTTATCGATCGAGCTGCGATCGATGGGGTTCAAGTTCGCGCGTTAGTATGCGGCCCTGCGTGCGGGCCTGGAAGGCAATGGCGGACCGACCAGCTGACTTTTGTTTTGGAAATACTCTAGTTGTATAAAAACTTCACGATCTCTACATTTCAGCTAAAAACCTCCATAAGTTTTAAATTATCTCTAAAATCAATAATTTCGTGGCTTAAAATCAATAAATTCAACCACTTGACCAACAATAAGTAAGTACCTACGTCACAGGATTCAATTGCTTTACAAAATCTATGGGGCAGTTTTTTGCAGTCTCTAAAAGTATCTCAATCGAATGCAATGAATTGTTTTGGAAAGTATGTATTTAAACGAATGGTCCCTATATTAAAGATTCATCAAACAAAGTCTGAATTTTAATACTCAATAATTTCGGGTGTTAGTATGTCTTGCGTTCGGGCCTGTAATAGAAGATTGAACCAGCCGACTTTTGTTTTGGAAACTGTAGTTAACCTTGTATTTACCCTGTTGTATTCACACAGTTGGAGGTAAGATGCTGTTCCTCTGTGGTTGAGGAATCCGAGTGAAGCTCGGTTTCACCTTCGGCCTGATCATTACTTTCCATCAGGTGAGAGAGACGCAGGCCAAGAGCTTACTCGTTGTAAGTTAAAATAACTCTCAAAACTCGATTTTTGGTACACTTTAAAATCACATTTTTGTGAACTAAATTAAGCTCTCCAAAATCACATTTTATTTGCAATACCAATCAACAAATTAGTCTTTAGAGTTATTGACAAAAAATTTGACGTCCCAGGACTAAATATGCGCGCCTGGGTAATGGCTTGGCCAGCTGACTCAAACCGTTTCAGCCTGTTTTCAAGATAGAGCACCAATTCGACCCTACACAAACCACATCTATTGTCACCCTATCACCAACACCATAACAACCATAGCAAATAATAGATAGCCAATGATCGCATTAGCTAAACTGGCGATGTCCAGTTAGGCCGCACCGGAAGCCGCCGCCACTTCCGGCCGCCATTGCTAATACTGCACGGATCCGGTTGTTATGGCCGACCCGTTTGACGATAGGCTTTGAGCCTTTGTTTGGTGAGGACTTTGAACTGAAATTGAAGTAATCACGTTATTGATTTTGAAATGCATTGGGTCAATACAGGGTTTTCAATTAAAAATAAAATCATGATACCTTTAAAGCTTACAGAAACAGCAATTGCAGCAGCATTCAGGAAATTCTACAATTGATTAAGTTTGTTATAGCTTTCCACTCATTCATCTGTTACATAATTTTGTCCTCTTTTGAGTGAAGTAGCTGTTGAGGCAGGTAGGAAAAAAAAGGTACCTTAAATATTATTAGTGAAGTAAAAAAATCTACGTTTCAGCTCTTAGATGAAGACAAAAGTTTTCAGGAATCTATAATTTTCAAAGCTCGAATCCGACCCACTGAAGTCATAAAGCTCGAATCTATATTAAGTAAGCATGTACGATTTCATAGACTATAGGTACATATCTACATAGTGTTGTTATTTTGTCCATTTATTAGGCACAAATAACTGTACTACTCTCTCTTGCCTGCCTAACTTGCCCTCCGCAAACCCTTAAAAAAAACAAATTCTACCAAAGCCTAAGACTGAAAATAGAATTAGACGCGCTTGTCTTTTTGCGCACTTGTTTTATCACTTTATTTCTTTCTTTCCCACTTTTTGCGGTCCAATTTTGGACTCTACAACGTCAGTTTAAGTTTTAATTTAGTTTTTGGGGAAGTATTTGTTATTTTTGTGGAGTATTACGGTAAAGAGCATCCAAAGCTCTCTGGTTATAATCAATAAAGAGATCGGTTTGGTGGACACGGTCACGCGGTGGCGTTTTGACGCGCGGACGCGGAGGTACGCGGGGCGGTCGCTTAGTAATAAGAGGAAGCGAGAGCGGGAACAAGAGTCATTAATCGCTTCTTTTAAATCAAATAAATATTTCTTTCTTTCTTTCTTAAAGTGGCTGTAATCAGGAACCGTAGTGTTTTTTTGTTCTTGGAGGTTTTTACCTGACTCTAAAACCATAGAGTCAGGTATACACCATATATATATACCATAGTAAAAATCTGTGTTTCTATAATATAATTAACTGAACGTAATTAGAAAGATTAATCTAATTTATTGAATGACGGTCCATTATTGTACTTAGTTAAATTCAAACTTGAATTAGCCGTTCTTAATCTTAATCTGTAACAGGAGGTATGGCGACAGATTGTGAAACTTCTAACCGAAACCGGGTGAGACCACCACGACAAGACTGTCAAGAGTGTAGTGATGAAGAAGAATCTTAATTTTGGACCTACCAACTTACTTTTATATGGATGTTTTATATGGATTGTCTAAAATAAAATAAGATTGACTAATTCCGCTACAAATCGCTCTGCCCATCACCATGCTTATCCACCAACACAAGTAACCAGAAAACTGCCTTCTATTGGATAATTCGTGATTTTCAATTTTTTTCTCGTGCCCATAGCGACAGGTGCTTGAACCTGTCTCCACGATCATGACATTGACAGCCATCTCTACAAAATGGGGTCGAAGAACTCTACATTGACTAATCGATACAGTTATTTCTAATCGAGTCGAGAAAACCATCGATTGTAGAGCTGGTCTTATGTAAAAAGTTCTTGTTAACTATGTCTGAGTTGGAGATGGGAATCGTGTGTGTCCAATAAATGAAGATAAATTGAACTCAGGTAGTTAGTTCAGTTAAAAGAAAATCTTTGTGTTCATAGGTAACTGAAAGATGCATTTAAATCTGCGAAACGGCACATAGGTACCTACTTAACTAGGTTACCTAACTCAAGAAAAAGTACACGGGTACAATTTAAATTGCATTTATCACAGAATTTGAATCTTGGTTTCAGTTTGAACCTAGTTTTGAGCTTTATTTTAGATGATGATGATGTGAAATGAAATGATTTTCAGACGTGTTTCTTGAGTTACATAGTTCAAATCTTAAGAAGGTACTTACACAGGAATAGGTTTTATGTCTCCACAAAGAAGATCTTGGCCTGCATCTGATGAAAACTGATGATCAGGCCGAAGGTGGCAGCGAGCTTTATCCGGAATCCTCAAATATAAAGTAACTGGCTAGCTAACTTCTAACTGCCAAAACACATGCTTTTAAGATTGTTGTTATGGGGCAACAGATTTAGGTAAGATGGTGGTAGCTAATCAAGTGGACTTAGAACAATAAGGCTTGTTC